GAAAAAATGATTTACACCTAAAAAACTAACTTATTTTCTTAACATTGTTTTGATACTCAATTTTTTTCTTCACGACATCTCAATTGTTTACAATAACTTGATTTTCAGGTCCGATGACTACGTTAGGAGGTGTTGAGGGACTGGGCTTTATAAAGACAAAGTATGCCAATCAGTCGGACGACTACCCGGACTTTGAGATCCATATGTTGAATGGGGGGCCGACCAGCGATGACGGACAGACCTTCCGGCGCGTCCAGGGATTCACGCGCGAGATGTGGGAGAAAGTGTATGTGCCTTACCTTCCGTACGACACGTTCAGTATGTATCCGGTGCTTCTCCGGCCCAAGAGTATCGGTTACATCAAACTTCGCTCAAGCAATCCATACGATCCGCCCATAATTGATCCCAAATATCTGACACATCCGGACGACATCCTCTCAATGGTGGACGCGATGAAGATATCGATAGCCGTGGGTCTGACGCCTCCTTATCAGGCAATGAACTCCCAATTGTTCACAACAGTGTTTCCCGGGTGTGAGGTATACAAGATGTGGAGCGACGAGTACTTGGCGTGTGTGGCGCGCACCTACACGGCCACGATCTACCACCCCGTGGGCACCGCCAAAATGGGTCCGCCTTGGGATCCGACAGCAGTGGTCGACCCCGAGCTTAGAGTGTTGGGAGGTATCAAAGGTCTGCGAGTAGTGGACGGCTCTATTATGCCAAAGTTAGTCTCAGGCAATACTAACGCTCCCATTATTATGATCGCCGAAAAGGCCGCCGATATTATCAAAGGTGTTCAGTTGCCACCAGTCAGGCCCACACCTCACGAACCGAGCGATAGTTTTTTCGATAATTTCAATATATTAGGCAAAAAGAAGAGATGATTCCATTGATTAGTTGATTATATAATTACCATTTAATATCGTTTCCCCTTTTTCTCTATTACCAAATTTTGTTCATTTGTTTCTGTATTTTATAATTTCATTTTTCAATAGTTTTTATTTTTATTGTATTTTATATTTTAATATATTCAGTGTTTTTTACAAAAAAATTCTAAAAAGTTTAATGAATTTGAAAAATTATATTATGAAACGAAATCAAATCAACTCTTGAGCCAAAATGCCTGAAAATAGCGATTCATATGATTATTACTGTATAATTATTATAAGAATTTTATGTATATTTTTAGAATTGTTTTTTAAATATTGTTTTATTGAAGAGATTTAATTCATTTCTCGATTCTCTTTATATATCATTATTTATTTTCATTAAAAGAAATACAGAATTCAATAATAAATGTATTCTAAATATAGCGTTAAAACGATAGAAAAATTCTTGAATTAATACCAAAATTCACAGAATATATCACAGGACACAACACTTACATCTATTGACAACAAGTTAATCATGTTTTGCAGTAATTTTGTCAATATTTTTCTATACTGTATAGCAATAGATGTCATGATATTTGCTGTTAAACAAAACCTACCGTTAAATCTATTAATACATAATTGATATCCAGGAGAGAGAGTGTGAATACACTCTGTATTGAACTCCACTGTATATACCTTTAAAGGCAATCCACTCCCCATTTAGTATCAATTCAACCAATTTTGAGATCAAAAGAACATAATTTATGTATTGTTTTCGCTGTTAAATAAACCAATTGTTTGTAACGAATTAATTGTAATTATATTAGTATTGAATTTATAAATGTTTCAATTTGTAAACCATGATTGTAAAATTGCCACTCATTTCTAAATAATTAATTCAAAATAAATGCTAAACAATTTTTAACCACATTTACCTTAATATAACATCAAACTTGACTCATTTGTACAGTGAGTCATACAATAGGTGTAAATACTGTAATAATAACTGTAAAATGTGTCCATAAATAACGTGTTTAGTGTAGAAATGAGTTGAAGTGATAATATAGTGGTGAATATGGATGCGAGTAAGAGGTCATCCATACCGCAGATATCGGGTCCGAGTGTGACAAGTGTTGGCCCGAAGACTACTGTGATATTGAGACACAAGAACTATGTCTCCAATCAACAGACAATCGTCGATAAGATTAAACAATACAACAAAAGTGGTGCACAACTGGTCCCACAACTGGTCCCAAACGGTGACCACCAAAACAACGCGCAAACTGTGGCGCCGATGGTCTCCAAGAGGACCAGCGCTTCTTCGGCCTCGAGTTCGGCCAGAAGTGACTCGAGTGCCAGTCTTTGTGGCCACGACTCAGGGCTTAAGACAAAGCCAATGATGACACCAATGATGGCAACAATTGGTGGCAAAAGTCGAGTCAACAATAATTATAGTCAAAACACTTGTCTCGTAATCAATACAATCAATACTAACACTAATATTACTAACAATTTATGTAATAATCTCTCGAAGAAAAGTCAAGAAATGCTTAACACTTGTGATAATAATCTCAATAACAATAAGATTAACAGAAATTCAAGCCATTATTCAAACGCCAAGAACTGTTCAATTGGTGCCAAACGCGGTATTCCTCCGCCAAGAAGTAGAGCCACGTCTACCATCATCGACAACATGGCGTCGCTGCCAACCATTATCTCAAACTGTCAGTCCGTTTCCAACACATCCCTCACCACTATTGCCAAACCGACGGCTGTAGTGAAGGGCACGTCCAAAGTGTTGCCCCAACAGTCCGACCACAACAACACTGCTGTCTATCGTATGACAACTGGCCGTAAGTCCGACGGCACGACTCCCGGCGCCGAACACACCTCTCAATGCAATAGCTTCGGCAAAATGAAAGCCATCGCTTCCCCAAAGCCTGACTCTAATCATTCATCGATGTCACCGATTATGGCCACAACGGAACTCAATCATATGATCGCCAAACACCAAACACTTGTCCCAAAACAATTGGATCCAAAGACATCGACATATGTGAAGAGAAATGGTGCGAAACAAAGTGACAGAACGCATACGTTTAAAGGCGAGCGATGTCTGCCCCAACAGCAGTCACACCAAAATGGTTTACAAGACTCGGCCTCGTCTTCGCACGAAGAAGAGTCGGCCAGTAATAGTGATGTGGAGTCAGCTCTGGTCAACATTAAGCCAATGCAACCACTAGTCAGGACATCACAGTTTGCTTTTCTCTCAAATAATGGCAAACAGATGTCTAACAGAACCACAAGATTTCCCAACAATTACTCAACCATTGAAGTCGGATATATGAGTGATTGCACACAATTGGACTGTCAGTCCCGTAGCCCTCGTTCAAACACATACAGGAGCTGTCACTCAACCACCGGAGCGGCCAATGGCTATCTCAGTGAATCTGATACACGTTCTCCGCAACTCAAATCCATGGGCCCTAACAGACAATACAAAGACACCGACAGGTGAGCGTCTAGTTTTCAATGTCTGCACATGACTTCAATCACATTTCATACCATTCTTATCATAGTTTTTCTATATTTGACAGAATTAGCATTTTTATAGCATTTGTATTGAATTTGATGTATTGTATTGATTGTATTGCAGTGTTAGTAATGGCATACGAGGCGGCAATTTATTTGATTTAATGCATCCGAAGCCGAGTCCAGTGCCGAGTGATCACAAGAATGGACATGAAGTAAGACGAATGAGACGGGAACTAGATCTCGCTTACGACAAGGTCTCCACACTTACATCACAACTCACTACTAATGTATGAAATAATTTTTGCACTAAATTTATGAACTTTTAATGTAATAAAATCTAATGACGTGATAATAGGCTCATATGGTGGCAGCTTTTGAACAGTCGTTGTCTTCAATGACGGCACGATTGCAACAATTGAACGCTTCGGCAGAACTAAAGGACTGCGAATTGGATCGCATGAGGGCTATCATAGAGAACCTGAGGAAACAGGGATTGATTTCGGACACACCTCATGCCAGTCCTTCCAAGCAATCAAGTAATAAAAGTAGCGCTAATAAAGTTAAAATCGCTTCACTCATTAGACGGCATACATTTACCATTAATAACGATCCAAATGGTTAGCTCTCTCACTATCCTCCTCCCTGTCCCCAATTCTACATATCATCTATTTAAAATTTCTATTTATTTGCTTATTAACTACTAATATAATTGGTTTGATTTAAATTAAAATTTTTAATCTTTACTATTTGCAAATTATATGAAACTAATGCTTATCTTAATATTGTTTTATAATATTGAGTTTAAATGCTTTAATTTAGACCCAAATTCGCGAATCGCTCGTCAATTGTCAGTGGAATCTGTGTCGAGTGTGTCGAGCGGTGCGGACGGCTCTACATCTCAGTCAAAGCTAAAGAAGAAACCAAAAACAGCCAAAATATTGAATAATACGGGTTCGGGTTCGTGGCTCAGGAGCTCTTTCTCCAAAGCGTTCAAAAAGAATAAGTCATTTGTGAAACGAGACGCTCTCTCAGACATCGAGGGAATGGGCAACGGATCTGAAGGCGAATCCAATTCTGTTCCTTCCTCTCCACTCATGTCTTTACGTCCCTTCCATTCAGAACTTAACTCTGATATCAATGATCTCAACGATTCAGACGACGTTCAGGTCCTGAAGAGACAACTCAGAGAGAAAGAGATGGTTATAACAGATCTGAGACTCGAAGGGTTGACTTCTGCTCATCAATTGGAGAATCTGAAGGAAAAAGTGAATCATTTGAGGGCAGAAATGTTGAATCTTAAACAAGACAACGAACGGCTCAATCGCTTAATCACCTCTAAATCATTAGCTTCTTCTCAAAGTTCAATGGCTTCTTGTTGTGTCCAAAATTCTCACTCAACCAACGGATCCACNCTGCTCATCAATTGGAGAATCTGAAGGAAAAAGTGAATCATTTGAGGGCAGAAATGTTGAATCTTAAACAAGACAACGAACGGCTCAATCGCTTAATCACCTCTAAATCATTAGCTTCTTCTCAAAGTTCAATGGCTTCTTGTTGTGTCCAAAATTCTCACTCAACCAACGGATCCACGAAATGCCGGCAAAAGGGAAGTATAGGTGAAAACAATGGAAATAGTTTAGAGAGTCTTGAGATGGAAGGGAACTCTAATTCTCTTCTCTCTGAGGGAGGAAAACTAATATCAATCGGTTCCGGCACTCATGTCATTGCATCACTTGTTGTGACGCCCAAAACAAATTGGGATCAATTGGATCTAATGATCAAAAAGTTATTTAAAGAGCATATCAGTCGAATTGATTCTGAATGTGGATTAGGTTTAACATTGGATGCATTGGCCTGTTATCAGGTCGGGGCTGAGAAAATACAGCGAATTATTGTGGTTAACAAACCCTCACCAACACTGCCATCGCTGGCATCAAACCCAGAACTTCTTCCGTTTGGATATCTAGTGAATGAAAGTCATATTTGTCTTCAGTTTAAGACTGCATCCGATTCTTTAGTATTCGACACTTTGACACCGAAACCAATTATTCAGAGATTTGTAGGCCTTTTGAACGAAGACAGGCGTATCATTCTTTGCGGTCCCAGCGGTACTGGAAAGACATATTTAGCCCACAAATTGGCTGAATATTTGGCGGTTCGGAGAGCGGCCGAGAATAGGAGTGCCGACACGTCTACTGAAGGCACTCCCGTCGGATCGATTGCCACATTCAGTGTCGATCACAAATCGGCCAAAGAGTTGAGAGCTTATCTGTCAAACGTTGCCGAACAGTGCGAATCCGAAGCCTTATCATTGCATTTGCCAACAGTTATCATATTAGATAACTTACATCACGTCTCAGATATATCTGAAGTTTTTAATGGATTACTTAATATCACTCACACTAAATGGTTAGTCTTTAAAAGCATTATTTACTAACAATTAACTTACTTTTAATTTATTTGAACACTCAGTCCATTCATTATCGGGACTATGAATCAGACGACTTGTTCGACAACTAGTTTGCAGAGAAACTATAATTTCCGATGGGTTTTGTGCGCTAATCATACGGAACCAGTCAAAGGGTTTTTGTCACGATTTCTTAGACGTAAATACATTGAAACAGAAGTGAAAATGGTATCAAATAATATGACAGTCAGTCCTGAACTGAACAATGTTATTGAATGGATCCCTAAATTGTGGAATCATTTGAATCAATTTCTTGAGACCCATTCATCATCTGATGTGACCATAGGTTTGCAAACAAGTTATCTTTAATTGTGTTTTTAATTAGTGTTTTGTATTATTCACTATCAATAATTAGGTCCTCGACTGTTCTCTTCGTGTCCGATGGATGTGAATGGATCTGAGGTGTGGTTCACTGATTTGTGGAATTATTCAATAGTGCCATATGTTGTGGAGACCACTCGTGAGGGCATTCAGATGTACGGAAAGCGAACCCCATTTACAGACCCAACCGATTGGGTCATTGAGACATATC